TGTGTGTGTGTGTGTGTGTGTGTGTGCGCGCGCAGGGAGGCTTTGGGCTGCCTTGTAAGGTAAGGTGCTGTTTTCTGCTTTTTAAAAAACTGTTCTGGGTGTTTTTGCAGTGTGGTTTGTGCTGGGGGATTATGTTTCGGTGCTGTGATGGGTCTTGGGGGGCTTTGTTTGTTTTTTGTTCCCCCCCATTTTTGATGGGTCTTGGGGGGTTGGTTGCTTTTTGGGATTTTCCCCCCATTTCCGATGGTTCGTGGGAGGTTTGTTTGTTTATTTGTTCCTCCCATTTCCTATGGGTCGTGGGAGGAGTTTGTTTGCTTTTTTGGGGGGTTCCCCATTTCTGATGGGTCCTGCATGCTTCCCTTGCTTTTTCCTTTGTTTTATTTACATTTCTGACCTGCTCCCTTTGTTTTCTGTGCATTTCCAATCTACTCCATTTGCTTTCTGTGCATTTCCAATGGATCTTGCATGCTTGATTGTTTTTCTCTCCCCCCCCCCCCCCCCGCCGGTGGGTTGACTGGTTTGTGGGATTAATCGTGTTTCCAAATGAGTCTTGCAGTGATTTTTTTGGTGATTTTTTTTCCTTCGGCCGGAATGGATTAATTGCATTTTAATGTATTCGCGAAGGTTTTTAATGCATTTGTATGGGAAATGGTGCTTCGACTTACGACCGTTTCGAGTTACGTCCATCTTCTGGAACAGATTAAGGTCATAAATTGAGGCACCACTGTATATGAAAGCTGTCTACTTATGAAAAAATATTTGGAAGCCTTCATGTTAATTTTGAACCTTGTTTGTCTGGCATGGAGGTCTTCCTGATCACCTCTTATATCTGTCTATAGTAATTTCTGTGCTATTTATCAAATTCCTGATTAAACATTCTTGAATATGTAGAATTACCAGAAGGTAGAGTAGACATCAGTGGTAACACAGCGTGGATGGAACTGCATGCTTGAGGTGTGACTGAGAAAGAACTTAAAAGCAGCCCAAATGGTTAGCAGTGTGAGGCCAATGAGAAATGGTGGAGGGAGTTAAGTGTGTTTCGCCTGAAGAAGAAAAGACTATATGATGGCCTTCTTCAACTATTTGAAGAATTTTACTTGGAAGTTCGAACAAGCTTTTTCTAGATCCAAAGGGCAGGACCCCAAGTAATGGATTTCAGGAATGGGACTTCTGTATTTCTACAAAATAAAAAAGGAGTGTTTTTTCTTTCATTTTAATGTTCTTTCTTTGATTTCCTAACCAGAAGCTCTAAAACATGTATGATACGTATTAACAAAAGAGAGATACTTGAAACGTTTGTGTTCTCTTTCACTTAGCCTGTTCTTCACCCCTTTTGTCAGATCTTTCTTTCACTTATTGTCTGTCATATTTTCTTTATCCTTTATGTGTCAAATTACCTGATTTTTTTATCCAATAGTGTCACAAGGGCTTTTGCAAAGTGAAGGCTCTCAGAACATCTGTAGAAGGGCCTTGAATTCAGTTAAGAACGTTCTTTTTGCTTCACAGTGCTTTGTGGATGGTGTTGCTGTTTTCTCCTAAGCTCCTGGCGCCCTCCATATTTGGGAGATTTTTTTCCTGATTTTTTTTTCAGATTAGTTTTGGTGCTGCAAGGTAGATTGCCTGTGCCTTTTGGGGATTATATTTTGGATTTTTCCCCCCAAATTCTTTATGGAATTTTGCCTGCCTTTTTGGTTCTTCTCTTAATTAAATCATTTTGCTACTGCCTGGGCCTTTAAGCCTGCTGAACTCAAAGAAGAGAAGCAACAAGTTCCACATATTCTTGAAGTTTTGGTTTGAGGGAAACTTGACAGATTTTTTTATTTTTATTTTTCCTTGTTTCCTTGCTTTTTTATTTTGGGGAGAAGGGGCTGTGTGTGCACGTATTTTGTTTAAATTTTGCTATCCCCCCCCACACACCATGTTGGAGGGGTGCCCTCTCTGATAATTACTTTCAAATTATTATTTGGTTAATTTAATGTATTGCTTTATAGGTATATATTTTAGTGGGCTTTTTGGATAATTCTTTTTTCCATGTACTTTTGTCTGCTTTTGGAGTAGATAGATTATCTGTTGGTTTGCCTATGCTTTTTCGAAATACCTTTTGAAGGTATTGAGGGTAAAAAAACAGGATTTTTTTTTTAAAAATACCTTTTGAGGGTTCTTGGAGCTTTTGGAGTGGCAGAAACCCAAAATGAAAGAACCTGAAAAAGGTTTTCCTTTTTATGTTAAATGAAAGGACTGGTACACAAAAAAAAACATAGACAAGCATACTAAAACAAGAAAACTAAAGAGGCAACTCCCACTCCCAAAACATCTCAGTGAAAGGAATGTGACATTTTTCACCGAGCACATCTCAAATGGTTTCAAATTGCAAGAAAGGGTGTTCAGCCTGAACGTTGGTACAGTGGTGCCTCGACTTACGACCACAATCTGTTCCAGAAGATGGACGTAACTCAAAATGGTTGTAAATCGAAGCACCATTTCCCATTGAAATGCACTAGAACACGATTAATCCATTCTTGGGGGGGGGACAGACAAACAAAAAACACCCCGCACAGCAAGCCCCATCCAAAGGTGCTGGGGCTTTGAAAAAAAAACAAATAAACAACACAACAAGCCCCATCGAAAGGCGCTGGGGCTTTAAAAAATACCCCCAAAATAAACAACATAGCAAGCCCCATCGGAAGGCGCTGAGGCTGAAAAAATAAATGCACCAAAACGCACAAAAAATAACAGCACAGAAATATAACCTCCCCAGCCCAAACCCACCCTGCAAAACCCTGTAAATTTACTTACTCAGAACCAGAAAGCAGCACCAGGCAGTCTGAAGCCTCCTCCCAGGCACACACTCTAAGCATTGGGCCGAAAGAGCTACAAAGAAGCTCTTTGGCGACCAACAGTTAACCCTCTAAGTTAAATTCCCTGCCTTTTTCCCCTGCCTCTTTTGATTGCAACTCGAAGCTCCGGCTGCAAGTCGAATCAAAATTTTGCAGCCGGAGCTGGTCGTGACTAGAAATGGTTGTATGTTGGGATGGTCGTAAGTCAAGGCACCACTGTAGGAGCTAATCAGCAGTGGAATGGCTGCTTTGGAGAGTGGTGGGGTCTTCTTCATTGGGTTATAAACAAAGGCTAGATGGCCACCTCTCAGGGATGCTTTAGCTGTGGATTTCCCACTTTGGTAAGAGGTTGGATTCAGTGATGCTTGAGTTTCTCTGATTCTGAGACTCAAGACAGGTGCATGCTCATTTTCAAAATCTCTCTCTTTTCCTCTCTTTGGAAATCAAAATAATGTAAAATTTCACAAGATTTGCTTGCTTGTTTGTTTAAAATATTTTTATCCTGCTTTTCTTCTTAAAAAGAACCCAAGGCGACTAAAGATAGATCAGCTTGCTTCTGACTATATGCTAACACCAGCCCAAAATTGGCCCAAATTCTTACACTACTGGTCTTTAGAAAGTGTCACTGGTTTACTCAGCTGATTTCTAGAAAATGCAATCAGCTCTCAAAATGTGGTTTGCTAATTAAAGATGCCAACACTCACAGCAGTATTAGTTTTGTTTTCAGCACTATAGATTTGAAAGTGATGGGAGGAATATAATCTCTGAAACCCTATTTAATTTAGAGATAAATTTGGAGATCCCTTCCAGCATCCTCTTAAGATGTTCCCCCGAGGCAGAATATTAATAGTATTTACAGTGTTATGGAATGTCGGGAGTTGACTGTTTATCTAGCCTAAGGTGGTCTGTTCTTGACTTGAACCAGCTCTCCAGCTTCCCTACTAGCATTTATTTTGCTAACCGATACTGTACTCTTAACTGAAGATGTCAGGAAATTGAGATATGCAAGTTGAATGTTTTGTATTTCCCAGATCCATAATAATTTCAGGCCAGTAATCTTAACTATACTGGACAAGTAAAGATATAAACAAAGTGTTCTGGATGCTTTTCCTGTTTAGTATGAGCAGCAGCAAAAGTGGGAGAGAGCCTTTGCCTCATTTTGCTCTCCAGGCAGTCAAAATGAGGAAAACCTAAATAAAGGAAATCTAGAAAGAAGCCCAAGTCTGTGAAATCGGTATTTACTGATATTTGGGGGCTCCCCTTAGGGCTACTTTGAGTACCTTAGTCAGCTGTAGCCTATTCTTGTCATATACACTGAATTAATTAAGGTGCAAAGTTATGAATGTAAACATCACTCTTATTCTAGTTGAATGACTCTGGAGTTGCATCTATGTATTTATGCTCCAATTGTTAGTCCAGATTAATTGCTAAATGTCCTGTGCAAACACAGCTGGAAAAAATCCTAAAGATTTAAAAAAACTTAAAGACTGATGTTGATAGCTAAGAATGTTCAATATTTAACATTACATTTGATGAAAGAAGATGAAAGCCATTATTTAACATCGTTTTTAATTATTCAGGTTATGTATAGGGGATATGCTAACATGAAATTTAGCAGTGGTATGAGATACCTCCCATTTTTATTCTCATGTAATTTTTATACAAATGTATTTCAGATCTGGTTAATTTGGTATGTTTCCAACTGGTTTCTGGAGTGGCAGAAACATAAAACATTGTTTTATTTTTTTTAAAAAAAAACCCTTGTAGGAACTTCTAGAAAACGTCTCCTCCTCCTCCTCCTTTTTTTCCTCTTTTGGCAGTTGCCATGGTGAAAATTCTCTTTGGCTAGGTGCATGGTATACAAATACTGCTTATTCTGGTAAATATTACACAGAATATATAAAAAAACTTCCCAGTGTTTAATAGTGAATATTAGAACAGGCATGGTCAGTTGTTTTCATTGATTGTTTATGTTGCCCTTACTAGTCCTCCATTAGTACACATTGGTGATCAATGCCGTACTGAAGTAGTTTTCATTTCTATATCATAATATGAACCAAATTTTATATTCATATTTTAATGTGTTTGCTTGAGCAGGGTTTTAATGTTAGTTATGAGCATTCCATCCAAAATCATAACATTTCATTTTTTAAAAAATTCTAGGTTGCAGTTGTTAAAATGAAGAGCACAGAGCGCATTTATGCAATGAAAATCCTAAATAAGTGGGAAATGCTTAAAAGGGCAGAGGTAAGTCCAGTGTTTCCAATTCAGATTTTTTAAAAGAAATGGCATTAAAGAAAATCACAGTGAACTTCTGCCAGATTAAAAAGAATTACTGCATGAGCATATAGGAGCTTCAATTTTCCCCCTACTCCAGAGTGAGCGGCTTTAATGCAATCAAGTCTGACAGTCCCTTCCAGGCATCTGTTGTTCACGGCATTACTGTGTACAGTATTTGTTTTACCAGACAGTCTGCCCTAGTTTTTTTTTACCATAAATTATATTGGCCAGATTTTTGTTTACTATTACAAGTTAAGGGAAGCTTCATATTTCCGTTGCAGTGGCATGCACATCAATATGAAAAAGACATTATTTCAGACAAAGAGTAAATGTTTATGCTTTTGAAAGTCAATTCTTCAAGGAAGGTATTTAATGGGTGCTAGTGGTAGGAATTTTGTTCCTAAAAGATGAATAAATTGGCGAGAAGGTGATTAGAAAATAAACTGCTAAAGTGTTGTTGATTCATCCTTAAATGTGCTCAACCATAATGTTTCAGCAATAGATGTTTCATGTGCCTTTTAAAGATAAAGGTGTAATATGATAATAGATTATTAATCATGGAAGATATAAAGCAACAAACACACTGGCAAAATAATCAGACTGTGTTGGTCTCTAGAGTCATGGTTTTTGTTCCTTTGAAACAGAGAAACATTCTGGTTTGCCATTAGAAATCTGCTTCTCCCAAATTCAAAGCTGTATTGTATGTGTTAGTATAAAATTCTTGACACTGCTTCCTTCCCTCCCACATGTGACTTGTTTTGCTCTTTTCTAAGAAGCAAATGTCAGTTCTTGTTGTGATGGAGAATTCTTTTACACAAGCCAGATATTAAAGTAGCCTGTTTCTAGACTCCCAGGACACAGTATCTCTTCATTTTTTACTATGTTGAGTAGCCGACACAGTATCTCTTCATTTTTTACTATGTTGAGTAGCCCGCCCACAGTTTTGGCAAGATAGGTAGATTTTATGAGGTAGCCTTCTCTGTGGTAGCACCCTGATTTGGAATATCCCCCTGAAGAAGATAGAACTTGATACTGACCTTGCTTTGTTTTCACACCAAATCAAAGCATTCCTTTTTGCCAAGACATTTTGACCTCTCTATGGGACCCAAGAGAGAGAACTTGATTAAATCCTTTTTTGTTTACTTCTAAAGTATATGGTAGAAATGGGGGATAATATAATTTACATTTTAAACTAACTGTGATTTAATTAGTCATCATAGACAATCGGCTCATTAGGAAAGGTTCAGGAGAAATTGTGACACTCATTCTGTAGTTCCTGCTGGTTACATATACACAACATAATTGATTTGAAGCTTTGTGAAGCGATTTCTGATTGGGATCTTTACCATATAGACCTGTGGTTCCCAACCTTGGGTCTCCACATGTTCTTGAACTAAAACTCTCAGAAGCCTTCACCACTAGCTATGCTGGCCAGGATTTCTGAGAGTTGTAAAAGTCTAGTCTTATTTCATATCCTTGTCCAGCAGTTGGACCATAGGAAAGACTGGTTGAGCTGACCTCAAGATAGCAGTTTTAAATATGGAACAGAACAAATGCCAAGAAAAGCAGATATATTATGTCTCTGGACTTCTCAAGAAAAAAAGTATTAAATCTGTTCCATGGATGTCTTTCATTTAGACACCTTGAACAATATTCATCATGCTGTTTATGGATTCTTGTAGCAAATGGAAATATAATTTTTTTTGCAACAATTTGGGGCCTGTGAGAGGCTGTGTTTATGTTGTGAAGATAAAGGACTGGGAATCCGTCTTGTCATTCCAAAAAATGTCATAGCTGTGCCAGGAAACATCCCCTGTTTTAGGACACTATTTTTCTGTTGCAAATTAGCTGATAGCATCAGAAAAGTTTAGAATAAAATATAGGACAGTTCAGGATCATCAACAATTGAAAGACTTACCAACATCGAAAATAATTCAGTACAGTGGTGCCTTGCTTAACGATGATAATCCATTCCAGGAAAATCGCTGTTAAGCGAAAACATCGTAAAGCGAAATTAAAAACCGCATTGAAACGCATTGAAACCTGTTCAGTGTGTTCTAGTGGGGTAAAAACTCACCGTCCAGTGAAGATCCTCCATACGGCGGCCATTTTCACTGCCTGTATAGCGAGGAATCCGTCCCTAAACACAGCAGGGAGCCATTTTAATTACTTGGCGGCCATTTTGAAATCGCCGATCAGCTGTTAGAACAGGGAAATTATGCGAAGAATCGGTTCCCGAAGCAGGGAACCGATCATCGCAAAGCGAAATTCCCCCATTTAGACCATCGTTTTGCGATCGCAATTGATCATCATTAATGATGATCGCAAAATATCATCATTAAGCGGATTCATCGTAATGTGGGGCAGTAGTAAAGCGAGGCACCACTGTAGCTGCTGAGTTCTCAGTCTTGATGAATAGCTTCCTATCAGCAGCATCACTCTGGTGCTATAATATAGTCCTTATACAGTGCTCAGAAATGCTGGGTTACTGGCTAGGTCAATAAGAAACCATTTAGCCTTGAAACTGAGGCATTTAGAATTTAAGTGGGGTTGCATATGTTTACCTCTTTGTATTGTGTTCCTGAGAGTCTAAGTTGGAAATAGGCTTTTTGATGCTAAAGATGGCCATTTTGATATACATGCTAAACTTACTCTACATTTGGGTGTTGACTTTCTTCACATCATCTAAAATATCATACCCAGCTGGATAGCTGAGTGCTTTAGGTGCTTGACTACATTGCTAGCCAGCCAGACTGTGTGGCCTTTAGCAAGCTGCACAGTCCCGGGATGCCCCCTGGAAATAGGCTTTTTGATGCTAAAGATGGCCATTTTGATATACATGCTAAACTTACTCTACATTTGGGTGTTGACTTTCTTCACATCATCTAAAATATCATACCCAGCTGGATAGCTGAGTGCTTTAGGTGCTTGACTACATTGCTAGCCAGCCAGACTGTGTGGCCTTTAGCAAGCTGCACAGTCCCGGGATGCCCCCAGAAGAGAAGAATCGCAGAAGATTGGACAAGCTTTTTAGTTTTCCTGCATTCCTCATGAGGCTAGGTGGTAATAAAAAACAGGGAGTAGTTAAAAAAAAAATCTCAAAATAGAGATGGCAGAATTAGACACTGGTAGATACTGGAGGTACCAGATTGCACCTCGTATTTGGGGACATGGAAGCAATTGGTGACCACTGTCTGATAACATAAACTGGCTGTGTTTTACCCTTCTTTCTTACAGCCTATACAGGCTCTGCTTTTTATAGGTTAGAGTCCTGCATAGCACGATTAATTAATATTGTAGGAAGTGCTTTTTAATTAATTAATTAATTAATTAATTAATTAATTAATTAATTAATTAATTAATTAATTAATATCCCGCCCATCTGGTATATTCTACCACTCTGGGCGGCTAACAATAGACATATATACAGTTAAAATAATATAAATCCATTCGCATCATCAATAACGAAACATTCAAAAAATAATAAATAATAAAGAGAAGAAAGAAAGGAAAAAGAGAGGAAGTTACATGCTGACAGGAGGGAAGGCCTGGATGTAAAGCCATGTTTTAAATTGTATTTTAAATGTACCCAGCATAGGGGCTGCACGGATCTCAGGAGGAACATTGTTCCAAAGGCGAGGAGCCACCGCCAAGAAGGCCCGGCTACGAGTCTTTTCCCTCTGGGCCTCCCTCGGCGTCAGGCTCCTCAGCCTCACCTCCTGGCTCGCGCGGGTGATCTGGGTAGATCTTGGTGGGAGGAGGCGTTCCGCCAAATATTGAGGTCCCAAACCATTTAGGGCCTTATAAGTGAGCATTAGAACTTTGAAGTCAGTGCGGAAACGGATGAGCAGCCAATGCAGCCTGGCCAGAATAGGAGAGATGTGCTGGTGTTTTCTCACTCCAGTGAGGAGTCTGGCCGCTGCATTCTGCACCATCTGAAGTTTCCGCATCAGCCTCAAAGGCAGCCCCACGTAGAGCGCGTTGCAGTGGTCTAATCTTGAGATTACGAGCGCATGCACCAAGGTAGTGAGCGCCCCCATGTCAAGGTAGGGCCGCAGCCGGGCTATCCGCCAAAGGTGGAAAAAGGCGGTACGGACAACCGACGCCACCTGCATTTCCATGGTGAGCATCAGGTCCAGGTGTACGGCCAAGCTGCGGACTCCACTCTTCGGAGCCAGGGCCACCCCCCCAAACGAGAGAGAGTCACCCAGGCCACCAGCCACGGGGGCCCCCACCCTCAGAACTTCCGTCTTGTCCGGGTTCAGCCTCAGCCCATTCTCCTGCATCCATTGCAGTACAGTTCCCAGGCAGCGCTGAAGGGACAGGACGGCATCACCTGCAGTTGGTAAAAAGGAGATATAGAGCTGGGTGTCATCAGCATACTGTTAACACGACGCTCCACATCCCCTGATGACGCCAGCCAGCGGCCTCATATAGATGTTGAACAGCCAATTAGGATTTTTGTACAGTCCTAATTGGCTTCCTCCCCATTCCTCCCCAGACTCGACTCTAAAGTGGTGAGAGCCTTTTAAAAGCTTAGTACATCCTGGTTGGATATAAGGGGGAGAGAATTAGGGTCATGGGGTGTATTCCAAAGTATAATTCTCCTTTCCAGGGTACCATCACCTGCTGGCTTGGACTGCCCTACCCCCACCCTCCAGCTGTCATCCTTAAGATGTCTTGTCTCCTGGAGGGCAATTAGTATACTGAGTCTTCAGCAGGCTATATTTGGGGGCAGGGGGAGGGTTTACAGCAGTTAATATTTTTAGCATAGTATCTAAGAAGTTCTGTTCTCCCAGAAACTGTCAGTGGATGGCCCTGTTTTCTGCCTAGCAGTTAAACAGAGAACCAAATTCGGTATGAGAAGAAATGAAAAGAGCACTTACAACAAAATATTATAGTGTATTCCTAGCTCATCAGAGGAGTGCTCCTGTTAGCTCTAGCCAGTTTACTGTTTTAATTTAAAACTGTCTTCTAAGCTGTCTTGGGTATCTGAATTGGGAGACTGACCTCCATGTTATTAGATTTCAATTTATTTTACTCCTTCCATTTCCCCACTACAACCTGTTATTTTTGCAGCATCTATTTAAAAAATAAAGAGAGCTGATAATTGCCACAATCTCCCAGATTTCTGGGTCACCAATGTTAAAAAGCATTGGAGACGTGAACCTCTCCAATGCCACATGAGCCATTGGTTCCACAGCTGTCTCTCTAAACTGCCTTCTTGACTTGCCCTTCTGGAATGAAAACTGCTTCATTTTTTTAAATACAACTGGAATGTCAGTCAGTAGCTTTCAGTTTTAAATGTGTTGAACAGAGAGAATTGTTAGTTCTTGTAAAATTGAACTATATATAAGAGATTCCAGTTCTATTGCATGTTCTGTCCCCCAAACTGGCTTGAAATGTAGTTCTAATAACTTGCATTTTGTTTTGTTCCTTGGTGTAGGTACTGGTTTATTGCAGAAATAGTGTGAATGTTTTTAAAGCTGTAAATAATATTAAAATAACATACCTTTTGAATAACAATTATTAAAAACAAAGTATTTTGCAAAAGTAAATCAAGTGTTTCAACAACTCTTTTTCTCATTTAATTTCTAGACAGCTTGTTTCCGAGAAGAAAGGGATGTTTTGGTGAATGGTGACTGCCAGTGGATTACTACATTGCACTATGCCTTTCAGGATGAAAACTATTTGGTATGTAGGAACAGTGAGCCCTTAAAGATTTCAGTTGGAAACTTTTGAGAATTTAGAGCATTATTTACTTAACCGTTGGTTCTTTTATTTTTCTCTAAAGATATGTTGATTTGCTATTAAATTAGAGTTAATATAATTAGATGAATAATCATATAGCTGAATGTTTTTTTGTAATAATATACCTTGACTCAGTAGCCATTTTATTTTTATAAATAAAACCCCAAGACTGCTGCTAAATGGTCAGCTTAAAGCTCCTGAGTGCTTGCAGAAATGGAATGATAAGTTTTTAGTAAAACCATCTTTATAATACAGACCTATGCATGTCTAATCAGAAATAAATCTTTGCAGTTTCAGCAGGGCTTATTTTCATTTCAAAATACATAAAGTTATAGCCTAAATGTACATATGTTGGAGTTCCTAGAGTATTGCTGGTCAACAAGAGAGAAGCCACCATACTTTTGAAGGGTTCTTAACAGGAAGGAGACAAAAAGAAGTGGTTTTGTTGTAGATTGATTGACTTCGTTTTTTAAAGAGGTTAGTTCTGCACAGTTCAAGCCATGTAGAACAGAAGCAGTTCTAAGGACTTCAATGTAAATTGTGATTGGTAGATAGATAACTAAGGACTGTCTTTGTTCTCCCTTTCAATTTTTTAAAGTTACATTTTCAAGCCCAAATTAATTCACTTCCTCATTATTGTATTGTTTATTTTGTGATTTGAGTCAGAGCCTTAATAGCTAAAAACTTGATTAGGTGATCATATTCTGCTTCATATTTCTTATTTATTAACTTATGTGGAATTTTAGAGAATAGAACTGGTAAAACCACTCTTTAAATATTTCACTTACCTTGAAAGCCCTATTAGGGTTGGTATAGGTTGATACCAACTTGACTGTTTATTTATTAATTAATTAAATGTATATCCCGCCTATCTAGACCAACCAAAGTCTGTTCTGGGCGGCTAACAATAATAGGTAAAAGTAAACACAATATAATAAAATAAAAAGAACAGTAATAATATAGTTCAAGATGGCAAAAAATAATCAAGTAATGACAAGAGGGAAAGCCTGCCTAAAGAGCCAGGTCTTAAGATTGCTCTTCAAAACACCCAGCGAGGGAGCCAGACAGATCTCTGGGGGCAGACTGTTCCACAGGCGACAGGCCACTGCCGAGAAAGCCCGGATTCTTGTTCTGTCTCTCTGGGCCTCCCTCGGTGTTAGGCCCCTCAGCCACCCTTCTTGGCTGAAACGGATGATTCAGGTAGATCTAGGTGGAAGGAGGCGTTCCGCTAGATATTGAGGTCCTAAACCGTTTAGGGCTTTATATGTCGTCATTAACACCTTGGAATCAATGCAGAAACAAATGGGCAGCCAAGGAGAAATACAGTGGTCACTATCCGGATTCGTCGCTATGCGGGGGGAAAACTCCATTTAATGCGTTCCTATTGGGGGAAAACTCACTGCTATGCGGGGAATCCTCCATCCGGCCTCCATTTTCGCCGCCCGGTAAGCAAGGGCAGGGCGCGAAAACGCTGCGGGCGGCCATTTTGTTGACCCAGCTGCCATTTTTGAACCGCCGATCAGCTGTTCCCAAAACATCACAGTGTGAAGATCGGTAAGCGAAACGCTTACCGATCATCGCAATGCGATGTTTTGCCTAATAAAACATCGCAAAAACCACGTCGCTGTGCGGATTTGCCGTTAAACGGTGCGTTCGTTAAGCGAGGCACCACTGTATGCTGATATTTTCTTACCCTGGTGAGAAGTATGGCCGCCGCATTCTGCACCATTTGCAACTTCCGCATTAATCTCAAAGTAGCCCCGCGTAGAGCGCATTACAGTAGTCTAATCTCGAGTTTACAAGTGCATTGACCAGAGTGGTTAGTGCCCCAACACCAAGATAGGGACGCAGCTGGGCAATCCGTCAGAGATGGAAATAGGCGGAATGGACCGCTTATGCTACCTTGGTTTCCATGGTGAGCGCCGGATCCAAATGGACCCCCAGACGGTGAACCTCACTCTTTGCAGTGAGAGTCATACCCCAAAAGAGAGGGAGTTTTCCAAACCTCCGTGCCATGGCATGGCCTGAAGCCTGACTGAAATGGATCCAGGTCATCGATTTCATCCAAGAGAGTCTGAATCTGGTCAGCCACTACCTTCTCAACTACCTCGCTCAGGAAGGAAACATTGGTGACAGACCTATAATTGCCAATGTCATCCGCTGCCAGACTTGGTTTCTTCCTGATGGGCCTAATGAGTGTCTCCTTGAGGGCAAGAGGAACCTTGCCCTCCTGGACACTTGAGCCCTCCAGAACCCCACGATTTAGACTCCACAGGGCTGATAAACTTTCTCCAAGCTGTACTGTCTGAGGACAGTCCTCCAAGAAGGATCGGAGTCAGGCAAGCACCATATCTGATGTCACAGGCTGAACGCAATTACATCTTGTCTGGCAAGGCAGAGCGCTGGACGTCTCTGCTTGATCTACAACACAGAATAGAGGAATTCTGTATATAGCAGTGATGGCAAACCTATGGTACGAGTGCCACATCTGCCACACAGAGCCCTCTCTGCAGGCATGCAAGCCATAAGCTGCGGGATTGCTACCCCCGGCAGCCAAACCTCAGGAGGTGGCTGCTAGCACCCCGACAGATGGCTGGCCAGGATCCAATGCAGCTGGCGGGGGGGGCGACTGGAGGCAGATATGGAGTGGATCTGGAAGCACCTCCGTTCCCAGGATTCCCCTTCCGCCGCCACTTCCGCTTCCACCCTGGCCGGCTGTTTGTTTGCTTGCCCTCCTGGACAGACCCATTAATTATTGCCATGGCCCATTCAGTTGTTACAGGCCTGGCTGCTTTGATTAGCCAGGCTGCGCAAGGGTCAAGGGAGGTGGTGTTGGCACGATAACAATCAGGCACTTAGTCCACCATATCTGATGTCACAGGCTGAACGCAATTACATCTTGTCTGGCAAGGCAGAGCGCTGGACGTCTCTGCTTGATCTACAACACAGAATAGAGGAATTCTGTATATAGCAGTGATGGCGAACCTATGGTACGAGTGCCACATCTGCCACACAGAGCCCTCTCTGCAGGCATGCAAGCCATAAGCTGCGGGATTGCTACCCCCGGCAGCCAAACCTCAGGAGGTGGCTGCTAGCACCCCGACAGATGGCTGGCCAGGATCCAATGCAGTTGGCGGGGGGGGCGACTGGAGGCAGATATGGAGTGGATCTGGAAGCACCTCCGTTCCCAGGATTCCCCTTCCGCCGCCACTTCCGCTTCCACCATGGCCGGCTGTTTGTTTGTTTGTTTCAGTTTGGGCACTCAGGCTCAAAAAGGTTAGCAATCACTAATATATACCATAGTCTCTGTTTCTCTCTAGTGGCCAGTTCTGGAAACACATTTCTGAGGTTTTTTATTTAATATTTTCAGGCAGTCGATAACTGAAATGGCAGTCCTACTGTAATTTGATATAGTGCTATCCAATACAATCTCAGTCTCAAGGAGTACATTTTTCTTTATGAGCCTGCCTGGGTGTTGATCATTGGGGAAGGCCTTTCTCTTAGTCCCTACCACCTTCACTGGTGTGTTTGGTGGTGACATGGCAGAGGACCTTCTCTGCCTTCACTCCCAGACTCTCGAACTCTCACAGGAAGCCAGGCTAGCCCCATTTTTGCTGTCGTTCCACAAGCAGAGAAAGACCTTTCTCTTCAGACAGACTTTCCCTTAGTGACTGGCTTGTCTGAGAGGTGAATTTTTTTATTTTATGCCTTTTTGCTTTGTATGCATTTTGGTGTTGGTTTTGCCTACTGTTTTAGTGTAGTATTTTTTGAGTTGATTCTTTTATAATACTTGTTTATTTACTATTTTAGCTTTTAAACACGATCTTCTACTGATGTAAGCCAATTTGGGTCCTTTTAAAGGAGAAAGATGGGATTAAAAATCCAATTGTAATGATCTTTCCAATTATCCTAGGATTGGTTTATGGTGTTTTATGGCTTAAAATTTTGCATACCCCCTTGAGAAGCTTTACCCTTTAAAAGTAGTTTTAAAAGCTATTAAATGGAAGCAGTGGATCTGTTTAGATAAATACATAAAATGATTGACCATCCATTCTTTTTTTGTGATGGCATGAGGCCATTCTCTCTTGTGACACAGCTTCGCTTTCAGTGTTTTAACCCTAAGTATTCCAGTTCCTGTTTTATGTAATTATACATATTAGTTTATTTTTTGAATAATGTTTGTACTAAACCTGTGGTTTTGAGACAGAAATAAATGAGAAGATGCATCTGAGTGAATGTTTGCAATAAAATTGTTACATCCCCAAAAGCATTCATCAGTCTTGACTGAAAGGCCTGGAGTTCTTCCATGACAAGCAGTCATATCCATGGCTCTTGGCTGACCTACATTCTCAGGCAGCTTTCTCTTTTGAGTTCACTGCCTGTTAGCACTGAACTCAGTAAGCATCTAGCAGTGTCTCAGGACATCATTTCTTGAGCCTAAAGATACAGCCTTACTTCTAAGACCTTATTTTCATAGCAAAATATTGCTATTCCTTCTCCTAGAACCTATTTAACTTGATACTTCGTCAAATAAGTAGTAGCTAGCTTTTTTCTCTCGTGTCATTTTGAATTTCAGTTGTAAATCTGAAGGCAGATACGGTCATACTAATCTTTGTGAATCAGTCTTGGAAGCCCATTTAGCTTAAGAATGAAGTAAAAATGCAGTGAATACATGCATAATGAATAGACTACATCCAGCAGTTGCTATTGGCAGTTACAGCCAACTAAACCACTTCAGTGCACTATATATTTAACTGTAGTGATACCTTGTTGTTGTTGTTTAGTCGTTAAGTCGCGTCCAACTCTTCGTGACCCCATGGACAAGAGCATGCCAGGCCCTCCTGTCTTCCACTGCCTTCCAGAGTTTGGTCAAATAGTGCTATCTTAATTTGTGCCAATAACGACAGTGCATGCTGGGTTTCTGGTGATTTCCGAGTGAAGGTCTGACGAGCAGCAAATCTGATTATCTTTTACAGTGGTGCCTCACTTGACGATGTTAATTCGTTCCAGCGAAATCGCTGTAGAGTGAAAACATTGTCAAACGAAACAAAAAAACCATTGAAACCCATTGAAAACTGTCCAATGTGTTCCAATGGTCTGAATACCTGCTCGTCCAGCGAAGATCCTGCATACGGCGGCCGTTTTCGGTGCCTGTAAGCGAGGAATCCGTCCTAGAAAACAGTGGGGAGCCATTTTCTTCAGCCGGCGGCCATTTTGAACCCTGACGATCAGCTGTTTGCTGATCGTGGTAAAGCAAAAATCAGTTCCTGAAGCAGGGAACCAATCATCGCTAAGCAAAATTCCCCCATTTAAGCCATCGTTTTGCAATTGCAAAAGCGATAGCAAAAACATCAATGTAATGCGGATTCGTCGTAGAGCGGGGTAATCGTCCAACGGGGCACGACTGTATATGGATTCCCTGTGGACATTACTTGGGGCCCTAAAACATACATATTTCCGTTTACCTTTGCTAATTCTTCCACAGGTTCATTTTTTGTGGATTATGCCACTGAAGCGACAGACTGTAAAGTAGCTTAAAATTTGCAACTAAACTGCATTTCATAATTAGTTTTAAAAATACCAGGGCACATTTAAAGACAGAAAGTCAGGAAAAAATTAGAACCTCTAGTTTCTACAAGCACATATTTTGTGCTGTATCTCCATAATTGCTGTATTTAATCAGTTATGACTTCATCCTGCATTGTTTTTTTTACTATATACTGTTTATCTGCCGCTTTTGTTTGTTCAGTACCTAGTAATGGACTACTATGTGGGTGGTGATTTGTTGACACTACTAAGCAAGTTTGAAGACAAGCTTCCTGAAGACATGGCCAGATTCTACATTGGTGAAATGGTTCTTGCTATACATTCAATTCACCAGCTACATTATGTGCACAGGTAAGACAATTGTCCTGCTCTTGGGAACCATACTAAAAATGTTATTGTGTGCAACCTACAAATATTGTTAATAAATAAAGTCAACACATTTAGAATATAATGGAAATACATGGGACCCACAATAGCATTTTATTGCAGATGTCACAAAAATGGTAGAGACTTTGCAATTGTATCCTCAACACTTTGCAGAAGTGTCCCTATTGATGGCTCTTGACAACAAATGAAACCCACCTTCAGAATACTGCCAGTGATGGACAGTCTTGCAGAAACCTACAGCAGGGATGGGCAACAGGCAGTTCTCCAAATGCCGTCTTCTGTAGCTTCCAGCAGCCATTGCCAGTATAGCCAGTGATAAAGGAATGGAGTTCTGTTGTTTAGCAATATCTGAAGTGATGAATGTTGTCTACTTCTGTATAGAATCTTACATGTGCATGTCACAATTAGGTTGGTTGCAAACTTGGCCTCTGTGCTCCTCTCCCAAGGCATTGTGGTTTACTAAACCATAGTAAGATGGCGTGGTATTTCTGAAGTTGAAACCATGCTCACTGCTGGTTGGGGAATGTCACTGTGCAGCAGAAGTGGACAAAACACTTGTGAAATTGGCTTTGGAATGTAGTTAGCAAGAAGAGTAGTTCACTTCCTGCTGAGGAGGGAAATTATTAATTTAATTAATTTTATCTTCAGCAAGGCTTTTTCCTCAGTTACTGGATGCCTAAGGGAGAGGCTATTATTTTGTTGATGTATTGTTTTCCCCTTTCAATTTTTATATTGTTTTAATATTGTAAGCTGACGTGGGTCTTCTTGAGGAGAAAGGCAGGGTTATACGTATTTTAAATAAAATAAAATAAAATAAAGCAAGCTAGGTCCTCTCTTCCTTTTTGTATTTTTTTGGTCCAAGTGACACACAACATTTAGTTGTTCTTTGGGATCGCTGAGTTATTTGGTCATTCAGCCTTGTTTTAGACTTCTGCTTTTTAGTCTTTTGCATACATATATAAGAAATAAGGGACTTTGGCGTGGGTCTGTTGAACTTACCAATAGGGAGATATTTAGTTGTTTGGGACTACAGTTATTCCATGGAACTTGCAAGAAAATGTTACGATAGATGTCCAATCCTGGGAAGATTCCTCAGCTACAACCTTGAATTACGATTGACCTTGCTATTGGACTTCCATGAACCTCAGCACTTGTAGACATCACACATTCCTTCACTACACCTCTGAAGATCAGTAGGAAAATTACTGTTGGGAATGAATGGGGAATATTTGGAATGCAGATAAACATACTTAAAAAAATCTTGCCAAAACGATCGCTCTTGCGCAGCAAAGAAAATCTGCCAATATGTAGAAGTAGCATTAGTTTTTGGTGTCTTGGTGGTCTGTGCAGTTGCTTCCTCATCATGTGTGCGTTTTCACTGTGCATTTTTGGTATTGTTTTGTTTGTAGGGTTCGTTACTTCTTGTGTATTGTAATGTTTCCTTGAGTATGCTTCAGTTAGCTTCACTGTTCTTGTGGGAGGCCCTGTTCCATTTCCAAATGTGTAATTATAGGGACAGTTGGGGCAAGAATTGAAGTTAAGGTTAAAAAAACAGTTATCTAGCCTTATACAGAAATTTGCACAGGCCCAAGATTCAGTGCCATGGCTATCTCCTGTAGAATGTTTTTAGCTTCCTTCTTGCCTCAGCAGTTCTTCTGACAGACATATGTAACAACATCATTAATTTGGTGTTTTGTTGTATTCTTACTTCCTAATGATCTATTCTGAGATTTATACTGAAAAGTATTAGGTATGTTTGAATAGATGTGCTCAATTCCAGAAACTTGCACACTAATGTGTATTGTATGCCCTCCTAACAAATATATCGGCTTCTGATTAATAAGAAACAGTAGAATAAATACAGTGGTGCCTTGAGGTATGAACTTAATTGGTTTCAGAAGATGGTCATAACTCAAGTTCGTCATAACTCAAAGCATCATTTCCCTTAGGAATACATTGAAACACAATTAATATGTTCTGGCTGGAAAAAAAATCCACCCAAAAAAACACACTGCAAGACCCATCGGAAACAGGATTAATCTGTTCCGGCCGGAAAAAAAACCACACACACAAGCCAAAAAACACTGCCACACCCATCTGAAATGCGATTAATCCATCATTCTGGCCAAGGTGGGGGGGGACACTGGAAAAAAAAACCCCACACTGCAAGACCCTTGGAAACACGATTAATCTATTTCAGTCAGGGGGAAAAAACTCAGAAAAACAAAAAACACTGCAAGACCCAACTGAAACGCGATTAATCTGTTCCAGCTGGGAAAAAAAACAGCAAAAAACCTCAAATACTGCAAAAACCATCACAGCACAGAAACATAAGCCTCCAGCCCAAACCCATACTGCAAAACCCCGTGCTCATTCAGAATAGACATTTTAAAAAGCAGAAAGCAGTACCAGGCAGTCCGAAGCCGCCTCCAAATGCGCACACTCTAACCGCTGGGACAGAGCTACAAAAAAAGCAGCTTCTTTGCCAACCAACGGTTAACAGTTTAAATTCCACGCCTTTCCCCCCACCTTTTTATCTGGTCGTATATCAAAGCTCTGGTCACAAGTCAAAGCAAAATTTTGCGGCCAGAGGTGGTCGTAACTCGAATTGGTTGTAAGTCAAGGCACCACTGTACATAAATGACCAGAATGTTCTAAACTGGAGGGCAAACAATAAACAATAAATGTAACTAACAAGAAAATTGTGCATGATCACAACTGAGAATACGTAGGAAAACCTATGGGTCCATCCCTGGAATGTTAAATTATGGACAAAATTTTGTTGTTAATTACAGTAAGTCACATTAATGTAGGCCCATTGGATCAGTGCAGATTTGGAAAGTCGAGTCCTCCATAAGTTCCATTGATTAAAATGGACTTATTGCTGTAGTTACATAGTATACTAAAGTAAATCACAACTGGAATGGACCCATTTGAATCAGTGAAACCTACAGAGGAGTTGACTCAGTAAATTCTCACTGATCCAAAGAGCCTACTTTAGTGTGACTTACTATTCTAAGCAAAAGGACTCTAACTGCAGAGCCTGAGGTTGATAGTGTGATTCATGCTGTGCGTCCTTGATAGGGGCTGGACTTGGTCCCTGCTAGCTCTTCAGTTCTAAGATGATGATTCTTAAATACTGCTCAGAGCTTTTGACTGTTTGCCAGTGTAAAAATATAAAAATTAATAATGCAGAACTGAAGTGCTCTTGAACTTAGTTTGGTTGTCAGTTTGCTAACCCATTTTGACTGTTTCATTTTTGAAACAGCACCCATAATTAATAAACAAATAAATGAAATCAAATAGCATGGCTCCGGAATGTCAGCTTGCTTCATATAGCAATCTTTTAATGGGTCTCAGTGTATAATTACTATAGCAGGAAACTTTGGATACTATACTGTATTTATGAAAAATATTTGCATAGCTAGATGCTTCACAGCTTTTAAGGTAATCTGTTCGCAGGTACAGTGGTGCCTCGCTTAACGAGAGTCATCTGTTCGCAGGTATATGCATCCCAAGTACCATGTTCAGGGATTTTAAAATGCAATTTGCACATAGAGTAGAATCCACAGGGAATTGGTTCCTAACTCCCACATGGATGCCGGAAAATGTGGAAATAGCAAACAATTTACATAATGTAGTCTCTGACTCCCTCTAGTGTTCTCTTCTGGTAAATATACTGTGGAAATGCATATACAGTAATTATGTATTTCTTGGGTTTAAAAAAATATTTTTAGGCAGCAGATAAGTGAATCAGTAGATATTGATTCCACCGATAGGAGGGGCCTACTGAACTGAGAGAGTATCTTAAGACCTAAACATGCTATATTTCATTTTACTTGTACACAAAGTATATGAAGTCCTCTGCATCATGTTGTGATAGTTTAACTGTACTTACTGAAGTATCAGCTATGCTGCTTTAGGCTTGTTTTTCTGTAAGCTTGTTTCTGTAAGCTTGTTTTAGTGCAGCCTAAGAGTGTAAAGCAAGTTTAAATGAGTTTAATTTTCATTAGTTATACCTTCTAATGTAACCGTACCAGTCATTTTTTTGTGATTTGTGGAGTTAGCACATGGTATTATGTAGTCTCTTACTCCCTCTAGTGTTCTCTTTTGGTAAATATACTGTGGAAATACATATAATTATGTATTTCTTGGGTTTTAAAAAAATATTTTTAGGCTGCAGATAAGTGAATCAGTAGATACTGGTCCCACTGATAGGAGGGGCCTACTGAACTGAGAGACCTAAACATGCTATATTTCATTTTATTTGTACACAAAGTATATGAAGTCCTCTGCATCATGTTGTGATAGTTTAACTGTACTTACTAAAGTACTGTATAAGCCACTGGTTCTTAACCTTGGGTTACTCAGGAGTTTTGGGCTGCAACTCCCAGAAGCCTTCACCACCAATTGTGCTGGCTGGGGTTTCTGGGAGTTGCAGTTCAAAAACATCCGAGTAACAAAGGTTAAGAACCACTGAGCTATGCTGCTTTAGGCTTGTTTTTCTTTAAGCTTGTTTTAGTGCAGTCTAAGAGTGTAAAGCAAGTTTAAATGAGTTTAATTTTCATTATTTATACCTTCTAATGTAACCGTACCAGTCATTTTTTTGTGATTTGTGGAGTTAGCACATGGTATTTTTTCTGAGAAACTGTCTTTGCGTGGATTGAGTTGCCATGACAAATTGTAGGATCAAAAATCCAACCTGCTGTTCAGTGGTTGCCTCTATTTTAGATTATTGTATAGGACAAATTTCCAAATTGAATGCATCAGATGTCTGGAAAAATCATTTTAGTAGGGTGGGAAGGGGTAGTTTGTGTTAGCAGATATTTAGACAGTTATAGTGTACTGCTAATTTCCACACTAAAGTGATGTCTATCTTGCTAGACATCATATGGCTTTTAATAACCTTTTTAAATTGCATCTGTCTCCTCAAGAAATCACATAAGGATGTTTGTCTTGTTTAACACTAGATGGAAAATTTGCATATAAAGTCACGTTTGTTAATAGTAGTAGTAGCAGGTACGTTATTGAAGAACTCACACACCATTTTAGATAAACACAAATTAATAATGAAAACAACACCAAACATTCAGCTTGCAAAGAGTTAAAATCAAAAAAATTAAGTTGTACAGTATATACAATTTAGCTAGGAAATTTGTCATAATTAAATGAACTTCTGTTATTTCAGTAAAACCTCACTAAAGACAAACAACATTACATGACTCATCTAAATAGACACTTTTTCTTTATTTTTCCCGAGAGGCTGCTTTTACAGCTGAGAGAGCAACCCCACCTTTTTTTGATTAAGCAAGTGTGATGAAATGCCATCAGCAACATTTCAGAAGTAGAATTCCTTAACATAGCTGTCTAAGAATGCTGTTACCTGCTTAACTGCATTGTGTTTTACTGAGAAAGCTCCTATGGGCTCTTGGAGTTTCTTTTTACATGAATGGTGATTGAAGACATCATCTAAATGTGGAAAAACTTTAAAAGAAGTATTCCTGTTTTGAGGCTTTCCAATACTCGTAGTTAATCACCTTCCTTCCTCTTAAACTGTGGGAGGAAATTGAAGACAAAGTACGTTTTGTACACTTTTTATAGTTGGGTCACTCTTACAAGCACATGTTCCAGAGGAACATTTGGTAAACAGAAACAATAAGAGAAATGCAGGAGAAATTTTGACCTCAGTGTAAGGTGAAAATTGATCGAGTCCAAGACATAACATCTTGGTTATTACAATATTTCTTCAATTTGCTTAAGAAATAATCCTGCACCATAATTTCTCATCTGATCTAAAGATTAATATATGATTAGGCATAAAATATGAACAAGAGTAGTTTTTTAAACAAAGGCTGATGAAGGCAACTTTTTGAATATTGAGAATATATCAACAACCTTTAGTTAGTAGCCAGGCTATGGGCAGTTTACATGTTTACAGTACTTATGTTCTATTAACATTTTTCAGGAAATTTGGTAAACTAGTTATATTTTCAACTTAGGTTAGAAGACAAGATTATCAGAATATGTTATAAAATCCCTAGTAGATTCCTGTGATTAAGTCAATCTTAATGAAAAATGGAAAGCATCAGAATTGTTAACTATAATTGCATAGATCTTCTCAGTTACTGTTAACTATAAGGAAGAGTTGACATTGTAGTTTTGTAAAAGTAACTTTAGATGTTGCTTTTGAATAAATAATTGGCTATGTAAAATAAGTACGTATGTGATATTTAAAATAAGTACAGTATGTGAATTTAAGCTGATGTTGCATGTATTTGTATTAGCGTGACATGATTTGTTGCTTTTCTGGCATGCTTTTCTTTTGATCACCTATTGGATGAAATCCTGCTGTTGATGTTGCATGTATTTGTATTAGTGTGACATGTTGCTTTTCTGGCATGCTGTTCGTTTGATCACCTATTGGATGAAATCCTGCTGTGTAGTTGTGTGTCTGCAATATGAAGCTGCAGAACAGGTTCAGAAAATTGTGGTACCATGGAAGTGCTATTCACAAAGCACTTTTGTATGCATGCCTCAGAATGGTCACAACAAGAACTGCACAACTGATTACTCAATCAGATTGTGCAGTCCTGATTGCCTGGGTATAATGCCTGGTACATTTACACAGAGGTAACTTTATGTTCTATGAAAACAAAACAGGATTTCAGCCGTTGTTTATTAACAAAATGCATAAGCAGACTTTCCATATAATATACTCAATAGGGATTGTCATTTAGTTTAGGGATTATCACTGAGCTGCTATGCCTCGTGGCACAGTGGTTAAACCGCTGTACTGCAGCCAAACTGTGCTCACAACCTGGGGTTCAATCCCAGGCAGCAGCTCAAGGTTGACTCAGCCTTCTATCCTTCCGAGGTCGGTAAAATGAGTACCCAGCTTGCTGGGGGGGGCAATGTGTAGCCTGCATAATTAATTTGTAAACCGCCAGAGAGAGCTTGAAGCACTATGGGGCGGTATATAAGCAGCACACTTTTTTGCTTTTTAGGTTTGCTTTCTGGTCATGCGTAAATAGTGTGTGAGTTTTGCCATCTCACGTTTATGTTTAACAAATTTCTCTATTCCCAGTGGAATTAATATAAGTTATGTATCAAAATTTTTCATTTGACTTAGTACCTAACTTGCATTTGATTTTTAGTTGCTAACCTAAACGATGGCTTTAAGCATGGTGTGCCGCTTACCACGTTTAAAAACTACGAGTTGTTCCAATCCTCCTCCCTTTCCTACTGGAAGTTAAACGACATCAAGGCTGATCTGTGGCAGCTTTAAATAATGCTACGTAGTTGTTTCTGCACTACTTTCCCCTTTTATTTTCTCTCATATAATCAGTTATAACAATATTATCAATTTTAAAATTTCTTTGAAAGAAAACAAAATTTTGCTTTTTACTATGTGGCCAAAATATTTTACTTTTTAATAAAATATTATTGAAGTATATACCTTGCATTTATAGTCAAGTAAACTGAATGTGGATTAAAATACATTGTTGACTTCTTAACCAGAATATTAAGTAAATATTTACTAAATTTTGTATTTCACCGTAATATGTATACTATGTGTAAATACTATTTCTTTTAAAATCAGAGATATAAAACCCGATAATGTTCTTTTGGATGTGAATGGCCATATACGGCTGGCAGACTTTGGATCATGTTTGAAGATGAGCGAGGATGGCACTGTATGTATCAAGAATATTTTAGTTAAATTAATTCTTTAGAGTAAAACTTCTTACACTATGTGAGATAATTGCTTTGTGTTAACCTGTTTGCCTTTGTAAGTTACAATATCTGATGGCTGTTAGTCTCTCAACATGCGCAATATTTTTATCACAGGCTACGTGGCAATATTAATTATATATCATTTTTTATGCTGATACCATTTCCTTCGTCGTATATTAGACTGTCAAATCCTTTTTTTCTGTGCCTTTCTCCTCCATATGCAAATAACACAAAGGTCAACTAAGTCAGTTTTTTCCCATACATTATAACAGATTTTCATTGTAGGTTGTGATTCTTTTAGGCAAGATTTTTTTTTGAGAATTTGCACACACGAAAGTGCAGTTGCATAAGAAGCTCCCTCTGGCAGGCTGCCTTTTGCACAATCTGTCGTGCACCTGATTGCACCTGATTTCACAAGCAGTTGCATAAAGCAGCCTGCTGAAGAGGGAGACCCCCCCCCCCCGTGTGATTGCCCTTCTCTACATTATCTGTAGAGGATTTTGGCCTTAGAAATTAAATGCCATGAAAAAGTAAAGTTTTGGTTTTTTTGTTTTAGTTTGGTTTCTTAAGGATAAAGAAGAGAGTAGTTCTGTTGTTTGTTTGTTCGTTTATCTGTCTTTGAGGGGAGATTCTTGCTCTGATAAGGTACTGAAAAAGCTGGATTATACTGACCCAAACTGTTCAGTTTGTCCTGTATTATTTACTTCAGGGGTGGGATTTATGCAGCCCCACTTACTGTGTGCATTCTTGCTTGCTTCTGCAGTTTCCTCCATACCTCTCCTGAACTTCCTAGATGCTCTCCTCCAGTTTCAATTGTCCATATGTTTGATGTCATAGGCATAGAAGAATATGGTGTAAAAGACTTTCTTTCATTAAAATAATGATTGTCATGGAACACTGGAAGCTATATCATTAGAAGCATAAGACCATGGGTTGATCTAGCTAGAGATGTAAGAAAATGTTCCTTTTTTTTCTCCAGGAGAGATTATCATCCTCCTATTTTGTAAACTGTCTTATGTGGAACTTTTCATAGTGTGCAAGTTAGGGATGTTATGTTTTGTTACATCAGAAAGTGTACCTTGCTATCTTATGATGTAGTCAATGCAATGTTTGAAGAAGAATTAGTCTAATACTTAATCTTTGTTTGACGTTAAAGGTGCAATCATCAGTTGCAGTGGGCACACCTGATTATATTTCCCCAGAGATACTGCAAGCAATGGAAGATGGCATGGGAAAATATGGCCCTGAATGCGACTGGTGGTCTTTGGGTGTCTGCATGTATGAAATGTTGTATGGTGAAACACCTTTTTACGCAGAGTCATTGGTGGAAACCTATGGGAAGATTATGAATCATGAAGTAAGAACTGTTACATTGCTGTATAAATTAAAATGTTTCTTTTGTGTCCAAAGTACATTTTTAAACTAATATGATTTCAAGAAAGGTTCAGCCCTCCTCCATTGGCAGAGTATGTCATGATGATAATCTTATTGAATGCATTGCTCAGTCAGATTTTAAAAACATGGCTTTTTAAATATTTTACAAGGCACCCACAAAGTGACTAATACTCAGCTTAGATCCTTGTAGTTTGGCAGAGCTTTGTTGTACTATACTTGGTCTGCTAGTACTAGTTGAAGCCATTGTACTCAATGTAGCATGGCTGGTAAAGTCTCCATTAGAGTTCCTGTGAGTACCTGAAGAAAAGGCAATTGATAACTTCTTAAGTGGACATTTTAAGTGGACGTTTCAAAGAGGTGATCTGGTAGAAATAAGCATTATTTGTTCTTTAAATCAGAGATCCTCAACCCCTAGTCTGCAACCCAGCAGCGGTCTGCGACCTATCCAGGACCAGGCCATGGACAGATTCCCCCTGTGAGTGCTGTAGCGCATATGCACACAGGCATGTTCTGCCCCTGAGCGCAGCATGCACATTTGCGCAAGTGCAATCTGCCCCCTGTGCGCACTGCCCCCTGTGTGCACGCTGTGCGCATAAGTGCCCCCATGAGTGCAACATGCGCATATGTGTGAGCGAGCTCTGACCCCCTGCAGGAGCACTCCCTCCAACCGGTCCACGGCTGGGAAAAGGTTGGGGACCATTTGATAAATGTCAGCATCCTACTGTCTTAAAGTGCTTTTTGCTTGGTCTCACAGGTGTTCACTGTTGTTATAAGGAGTTCATTTGTTACTTATTTAAAAGATTTCTAATCTGTTTAGGTACAGTGTATGTATAAGGGAGCTATAAAAGAAGTAGAAGCTTCGCAATGTAACAGTAAAACACTTTCTCAACTCTGCTAACTTGAAAGGCTAGCAATGATGTTCGTATTTCAGGGAGTTTCAGAAGTTTAGGACCACCACCAAAAGGGTCCCTCTCTGGTACCTCTTAATCTACAACTTACATTTTAATGCTTGAATTGGTTCAAATGGGTGTATATGCTCTTTCGGATAAATTATACCCAAGCTGAGTTGGTGTGCTTTAATGACTAAAAGTTTGATCGATCAATCAGAAACTCCCTCTTTGAAACCTCATTTCTGCCATGATCCCAATGAATGGTCTTGAAGTTGCCACTCTCATTTTGATCACACACCCCAAAACACCTAGACACACAATATGGGGGATAACTTGGCCTTTACATAATTGTTGTAAATAGTAAAATGAAGATAATGAATGTTGAGTACATTGGACAGTTGAAAATATAGTACAACAAATGTTGGTTTGTTCGTAATCATAATTTTAGTTATCATGATTTGTTAATAAGTTGGGACAAGAAGAATTTTCATGTAGTTTTGAGATTGAAAAAGAACAATACAGGTTTCAGTCCTAGCAAAAGGGATTTTGCTGCAGATACCCAGTTTTCCTCCCCTCCGATCTTTTTCCTTTCTCTGAGTTACATATAGATACATGTGCACAGGAATGTTGTTGTTCACATCTGTGAAATGTTGAGGTACACTGGTCTGTCTAATGCAGTCTTTCACACCTGTCCATTAGCTTTCACACATACCTGGTGCTTCCAACCCTGTCGTCCTTCACAAATGTCCTATTTAAATTGACCAGACTGACATTCTTTTCCTTCCTTCCTTCCTTCCTTCCTTCCTTCCTTCC